ACTGGACACCAACTTCAGAAAGATTAAATAAGTGGTATTAAATATAACAATCGATGCTGTCTCCATCGAGCCACTTGTCTCTTTCACAATTGATCGTCTTTCCAAAATTTAATTGGTTACCAATATCGATTTCACAGTTTGTAGTGATGTGAGTGATGTCAGATGTTGTTAGATTTTACGATTGTTTAACGCTTATGTTCTCTATCTCTTTATCTTCACACTTCTCTTTTTTTTCTTCTTTGGTGTTTTGAAAAGAAGTTCAGCAAGGAGTTCATCAGAATTAATTTCGGGGACATTGTCTTTAGTTCTCAATTTTCTTTCCTTAATTTCTTCTTTCTTTGCGCCTCTTCATTTCTTTTGAGTTTCTCTTTTTCAACTTTTTTGAGTTCTTTCTTCTTTCTTTGTCTTCTTTGATTTTTTTCTTTTTAAACTTATTCAGTTCAAGTTCTTCTTTCTTTTCGATTTGTTGTCTTTTGAAAATTTAAACCATTTTTTATAACCTTCATCTACCTTTACATTGTGATGTCCTTTCTCCAACTCTCTTACAGGTAATGATAACAATGCACGAACAATGTCGGGCCTTATTGACAATTCTCTTGCCAGTAAAGGATTTGCCCGACAGTAGTACCAACCATTAGAACTAAGAATGACTTCAATACCAACTTGTCGAAATGAGTTCATTGTTGCTAGAATAGTCGCAGTTCTTTCAAAGCTCATTAAGATGTTGACTATTGATTTTGACATTTTGCTTAATTGATATTCATCTTTGAGAATTTGTGAGAATGACTGAATTTTGTACCCCGTTCCTCTTTTCATCTCTTCTTGAAATGTGTATAACTGTTTCATGGTTTTTGAATAACCAAGATAGAAATCACGTGCTGAGACACCATCTTCCTCCAACCTCCGCTTTTGATCGGCAATTTGTTGGTTCAACATCTGGACCATTTCTGTTACACCAATTTGCCCCACATCTTCTTTCTCTTGGCTTTCCAATTGAAAGATGTTGTCAACTTCAAACTCCAATACTGACTCTGTTATCTTTTCTCTGTTTTGTTGACTGAAAATACCAACGTCAAGCATCTGCAAAAAGTTGGTTGTATTTGGGACAAAAAATAGAACTTTGGTGTTTTCATCGTCAAGATTTTTTAAAATAACTTTGTTGTTATGAGAACTACAATTGTAGAAAAAAAAGCAAGACCTTACCTTCGTATTTAAATATGTTTCTCAATCTGCGCACTTCAGGTATAAAAACTTTGTCTATCCATTCTTGAAACAACACATTGGAAAGAGTGCTCTTTTTCCCAAACATGAAATGTGTGTTTTCTTCGTTATATCCAGAATTATTCAAGTACTTCTCGATGGAATGGTTTGGGATGATGTGTGTCTGCTTCAGACGCGTACCGATAGCGATGTGTGTTATTTTCTTGGAAGATTTGTCGGTTGCACATCGAACATATTTGAGATCCACTTTCTCGGGTATGAACACTTTGATGTTTTTAGAGTCAATAAAATCTTGGTTCCCACTTTCGTCCATGATAAACACAAATAACGCCGGGACACCTTCAAGCTCTTTATCAATCGTGTCATAATAAAGAAAAATATCTTCTGATGGCACTCCCAACCTCGCCTCCTCAACTATTCTTGCTTTGAAGCATTTGAGGCCGATTGATTGCATTAAATAATATATCCCTGGTCGTGTGTAAGACTTGTTAAAACATCTTTCAATGTATTCCGATAACCACCTCGAAGTGACGACTCTTTCAAATTCCAACCATGTTCGTATCGCGGTTTTCAATTGTGATAATTGTTGTTCGTTTAATTTTGATTGACCTCCTTGAGTTTTTTTTTAAATTGTAAATAGACTTCTCTCCCCGGAGTTTCAGTCTTGATATCTCACTTGGTGAGATGTTGTAAACGTTTCCCAAAACAGTGTAGTCGATAATGTGTGCTCTCCCGCCATTGTCTTTGTTGAATTATGCCACTTTTGTTGTAATGAAATGGACTTGTAATTGCCTGGACTCCAACGCAAGACCAAATTCTTCAATTGAAAGTATTTTATAGAAGATATGTCTGACTTTTACCCTTACATCCTTGTCGTATTTATTCCAAATGAAAACGAGAAATGAATTGTTTTGGAGTAAGAACAGATTCATCGAAATTCTCGGACAAATAATTTTGATTGACCACTAATTGATGACGTTCTTTTTCGGTAAGGAACTCCTCGTCTTCTTCACAAAACAAGAAGAAACTTTTACAGTCAGTCTTTTCTTCACTTTTTGTGCCGTTGATAACTGTCGGTGATGCTTTGATATAATCATCTAGTGAAATATTCTCAAGAATGCACTCCTGCCTACATTCAAAATTAACTCCGAAAAAAAGATGAGGGGCTGTTTCGGAAAAAAACACGTGAATTTTTTGCCCATTTTTTTTTTATTTCTTCTATTATTTTAGATCGAACATTTTTAAGTTGAAAATGGTTGATTTTGGTTTTCTTAAAAATATCAATTCAAATCATTACACAATTCTTTTTTAAAATTTGTGAAAAAAGTTGTTTTGGTGAAAAATGCTATTATTATATACTAAACCCTTGTTTTTACATTTCACTTTCATTTTTACAGGTCCACTTTCACTCCTGTATATTCTCAAAAAAAAGAAAGCAAGAAATGTGGAGTTTGTAATTCCTTCTCTGGCCAATTTCCGAGTAATATCAACACAACCGGCAGACCATTTACGATAGTTAACCAAATGAGTGTCATTGTTTTGATGCGATTAATAGGTCATATCAATCGATTTGAAAAGCAAAGAAAACGACTGATAACCAGCGTTTCTTTGAGAATGTCAAATGGTAAAAATTAATAAGAAATTTACTATTTATTTATGGTTTTTAATTAGCGATGGTCGATACTATATATTATAATAAAAAACGGATATAGTAAATTTCCTTGTTGTATTTTTGGAATATCGTTAATTAGAAATCAGACTTTATTATTCAGCCTATTGTAACTATTCAAAACTAATTCGTTACTAACATATCTAGTTCAATATATATATATAAACATTTTATAATACTTCTCAATCAAAATTATTCTTCAAAACGGTTTCAGCAAAGGATTTGTAGATGTCTTGTGATTTAACCAACTGGTCAAACTCATTCTCAGTGAATGGAACGTCGCTGTAATACTGAATGAATGCGGCAGGCTCAATATGAATCTTTTCTACATTGAAAGAAGGCACATCACAATAGTCGATAAACAGTTCCAAGAAGTCGTACGACACGATATTGTAAGCGGTGAAGACATGTGTTGCACTTCGTTGGTCCTTTTTGATACTATACATCTTCTTATTAATATTATTGCTTAATTATAATAGTATATAATTAATAATCTATATAATATTATAAATAACAAACTTTTCGTTTGGTTGGGTCTAAAATGAGTTGTGCTGCTGTGTGAAACCCCAACTGAATCTCGCGCTCAGAAAAGTCCGAGTTCTTTTTCAGCCACGCAAAGAGAGTGACTACCATTGCTTTCCACACGTCATCACATGGCACATTATTCCACAATTTAAAAATTGCCTCATTCGTTCCAAAAATTCCTTTCAAGACTATATCAATTCTTTCTGGTGATGATTTTTTTATAAAATCGGTGTACTTCATCAGTCGAGTAGGTGTTGTTTTCACAGTCCCGTAAACATCTCCAGTGGCCTCATTCTCAGTAACAATTTCTTCTGTGTTAAACCCAAAGATGATAGCGCGAATTGGTTGTTCGACTAGATACAACGGCTTTCTTTTCGGGTCGCAGTGGATTTCCGAGAAAGCGATATTGTCCGGGTTGAGTAATTCAATAGTGTTTCCAAAGTACTTTGCGCATGTTTGATATGCTAAATGGTCCATTTCCAACTGCGCTGTTTCTTTTTCGATTTCTGAGGAGGGTTCAGCAACCATTCTAGTCATCTCAATTGCTTGAAAGAACTTCTCGTCTTTTTCTTTAGACTGCTTGTGGATGTATTCAACAAGTTGATTAAGGCGTTTGAAAGTCCTTAAAAACTTGACAATGTCCCTGATGTCTGTTTTGAGTGTGTTGTCGGTGAAAATTTCGATCTTGTGGGTAAACAGAGGTGCAAAGCTTTTTGTGTAGTCGTTGCCAGCGAGTGCCGAGAAGATCGGATAGAAGTCGCGATTGAATTGCAAACAATAGTTATCGACCATTTTCGTGTCGACGCAATCAACGTACAAAGATCGGATATTGTCGAGTCTTCCTTTCTATTTTGTTATTCTATTAGTTTTAGTAAATATAGTAGTAAATATAGTAGTAAATATAGTAGTAAATATAGTAGTAAATATAGTAATAAATATAGTAATATAATGATTATAACACACCTTTGCTTTCCATTTAATAAGATGACAAAATTCATCTGCTTTAATAACATAAGGAACATCAGACAAATAAAAATCACTGTCTGATGACATAATAAAAGTCGCGCCATGTGTTCTGGCTAATGAGGCGACGAGTGGATCAGCCTCATACACAGCTCGTACACACTGAAAATTTAATGACTTCAAAATACACATCAAGAACCGTTCAAAGTTGAGTAACTTGCCACGCTTGATCTTATACTGATTTGGCTCTGAAAAGAACTTACAAGCTTTTTTCGTACCATCATTACGCCGTCGGATGACCTCTTTAATTTTGTCTGAATGGTGGGTTCCATCAAACACAAAGATAAATTTCAAAGCACTTTTACTTGCTACAATGTTGAGGAAAGTAAAGTAGTTACGCAATTCAACGTCAGATAGACTTAATAGACTTGAAACGATGTTGTTTGTGTCGACTACAATAGTAGAATTTCTGTATCTGAAGAGATTGACTTTCTTCACTGCAGGCTCGACAATCGCCTAAGAGTCAGTTTGGGGTTATGGATACTTGGAAACAAACAGTAAGCCCTTCCACTCCCATGTCTTCTTATTTTTAAGGTTATTCTTATTATTAGAATAATTAATATATTATTTTATTATATTCTTTTTATATTATTTTTAAATAAAAATACTATTGTTTCTCTTAGTAAAACTACTATAAATTGTATTTATCTACAAAAATAGGTTAATTTTTTGTTATTCAGTTTTGTTTTTTTAATTATTTTAATTTATTTTCTTTATTATAAATAAATTAAATAAACGTTTTGATTAGGTTTTACAATCAAAACAAACTTGGACGATTTGTTCAATTTATTTTTTTTACGAACAAAGCGTGTAACAACAATAAAAACAAAGCTGTTGTTTGTAACAGCAATAAACCTTTTTATTATATAAAGTTATATAGTTATATATACAAAAGTGGAACTCTACAACAAACAACTTTTTTTATCAAAGAAATTGATAACAACGAAACAAATCGGAAACAATAAGTAGAACATAATTGACAGACTCAATTATGTTCTACTTATTTTGTAATCGAGTTAATGAGTAGTAAAAGTTCTGCCATTAGATGGTTTTTACAGAGCATATGTCATTTTACTTTACAAAAGAGTGTATTTGTTGCAAAGCCCTATTGCTTAAAAGCAAAATTCTTCGAGTAAACGATGCCAATAAACTCGGTTTGTTTGGAACAGGTTCCCGTTATTTTATTCAAATTTATCACCAAATCAACTGTATTTATTTCACTTTGAGATATTTAAAATGATTGGTCAAATGGTTTAAACCTTATTTATGTTATTGGTTGTGTTATTGGTTATTTAGTTTTTAAATAATTATATTTATAAGATCTATATAATTATATTTATAATATTTTTTATTAAACTTATCTTTTCCCGTAATTTAGGAACATTTTTTATCAAAAATTGACCAAAAAACAAATAAAGTTAATGGAATAAATAAACTTTTACAATAAAAAAACTTCTTTCTTTTATTTTAAGTGTCTTATTAATTATTAACACAATATTAAATTATAATTGATAATTACATAGACCGAACATATAATAAAATTAATTTTTCATTCTATTATCATTTTCTTTTGTATAATAAATCTCCGGCACTCAGTGGCGGGGATAAGTTATGTATGTTATAAATTACCATATTATTATAGTTTTTATACCATTTTACATAGTAAAATACAAGACACTTACATGAATGGATAGTTCAAGAATTAAAAAAACCTTAAAAAACTTCTACTATATTTTTTAAGAATATATTTAATTACAGTTTTAATTGAAGAGTATAGTAAGAAAATAATAAAAAGTGAATTAGAAGACCCACTAAAACAATTCAGAGAGAAAACAAATAGAACTCTATTATCAAAAAATAGGATGGAGGACTTTATGTCGGAAATGAGTGAAGAAGAGTTGGACTTAGCGTGTCGGGCGTTAGCGCGGACGATTGCTCGTTCACAACGCGTTGTTGTGTTGACTGGAGCTGGGATATCAGTTTCCGCGGGGATACCCGATTTTCGTTCGAAGGGTGGGATGTGGACGAGGTATGACCCCAAAGTGTATGCAAATTACAACAACTTTCTTGCACACCCCGAGATGTTTTGGAAGATGTCGACTGAGTTGAGGGTAGCCACTTCGAACAAACAACCGACGAAAGCGCACTTTGCGTTAGAACGTCTTCAACGCATGGGCAAACTTTCAAGTTTGATCACACAAAATGTTGACAACCTTCATCAACTGAGTGGTGTAGAAAATGTGATAGAGCTTCATGGTACTGGAAAGATATGTCATTGTATCCAATGTGATTATAAAGGTAACATTGATGTAGTATTACCACAACATATAGTACCATGGATCGATATCCCTCGATGTCCCGTGTGTGGTGCGTTGATTAAATTAGATGTCGTGTTGTTTGGCGAACCACTTCAATCGGATAATTTCCAACGAGCTTTCACCGCTGCGTCATCTGCTGATGTATTTTTAGTGGTTTGTACTCTTTGATTTTCGTTGGTTTCATCGTGAAGAGAATAGGATTCTATTTTGCTTGGTATTTAATCTATTCTTTATCGAATAGAATAGATATATTATTTCTTTTAATATAATTTATTATATGGATTAATAAAATAGATTGGAAGCTCACTCGAAGTCATGCCAGCTAACCAACTGCCACGCCGCGCTAAAATGAGTTCTTCTACTGTAGCGTTTATTAACAAATCATCAACCAGATATGACGATTTCACGGATTATACACTACGCGGAGACTCCGATGTGTTGGTACCGAAGTTGGTCGACTACGTCGCAAAGTATATGGACTCCTTGTGTATGGATAACTTCATAGATATCGTCACATTCCCTTTAAAAGTCATTTCGTCACCATTTGACGCACTCACACAGTTTGTGACGTTTGTGGCAAAATGGGCGACACCTGTAAAAGTGGAAGAGGATATCCCAAAACAACTTGTGGATAGCTCAGAGGTTGTCGAACAAGCGTTAACAAATCCTATCACACACCAAGTCGAGAAAAAAAGAAGCAAAAGCGAAGAAAGAAAGGCAGAAGATAAAGTGATGGAAGAAATCAACCAATCTCTTCGTTTAAGATCAACAGAAATCCCAAAGGAGTCACAGCTGTTCAATTGATTTTTCACTTCATCCCAGTTATTAACTGGATGTGTGTTTTGATAGAAGTATGTTATGTTTTTTATACAAATTTCTTATATTTATATTAAAAATATCATTCAGTTAAGTATTTTTATATAATTAAAGTAAATAGTAATAATAGGTATATTATTTATGAATAAAAATGTTATATGAGAAAGAGAAATAAGAATTGAAAATTGTTTAGAAGCACTTTCTGTGGACGATGGCTGGGCCAGACTCGTCGTACTCTTCCTTGGTGATCCACATGTTTTGGAAAGTGGACAATGAGGCAAGAATTGAGCCTCCAATCCAGACAGAGTACTTTCTCTCTGGTGGTGCAATGACCTTGATCTTCATTGTTGGTGGCGCAAGAGCAACCATCTCCTTCTCAAGTCTGTCGTTGATGCCTGGGTACATTGATGTTCCACCAGACAAGACGATGTTTCCGTACAAGTCCTTTCTGATATCGACATCGCACTTCATGATTGAGTTGTAAGTTGTCTCATGGATACCTGATGCTTCCATACCAAGGAATGATGGCTGGAAGAGTGCTTCTGGGCATCTGAATCTCTCGTTTCCAATGGTGATGACTTGACCATCTGGAAGTTCGTATGATTTCTCGAGTTCTGATGATGAAGCAGCCTTTTGCATCTCTTCGTTGAAGTCAAGAGCAACATAGCAGAGCTTCTCCTTGATGTCTCTGACAATTTCTCTTTCAGCAGTTGTGGTGAAAGCATAACCTCTTTCAGTCAAGATCTTCATGAGGTAGTCAGTAAGATCACGACCAGCAAGATCAATTCTGAGGATGGCGTGTGGGAGTGAGAAACCTTCATAGATTGGGACGCAGTGAGAAACACCATCACCAGAATCCATGACAATACCAGTTGTTCTACCAGAGGCATACAATGAAAGGACAGCTTGAATTCCAACGTACATGGCTGGGACGTTGAAAGTCTCGAACATGATTTGTGTCATCTTTTCTCTGTTAGCC